CACTCTCCACAACTAGAGAAAGCCCGCATGCAGCAATGAAGACCCCATGCAGCCAAAAATAAATAAAAAAAACAAAAAGAAAGAAAATTCTCCACGGGATTGCCTTTGCACCTGTGTCAAAAATAAATTTTCCATAAATGTATAGGTCTAATTCTGGATCATCTATTCTGTTCCATTGATCTATTTGTCTGTCTTTATACCAATCTACACTGTCTTGATTAAAGTAACTTTATAAGCCTTAAAATCAGGTAGTATAAATCCTGCAACTTTGTTCTTCTTTTCAAAGTTGATTTGATATTCTAGGTCCTTTGCATTTCCATATGAATTTTAGTATCAGCTTGTCAATTTCTACAAGAAAGGTCCATTAGGATTTTGAATGAGAGGGCATTGACTTTAGAGAGCAAATCGGGAGAATTGGCATCTTAACAATATTCAGTCTTCCGATTCATAAACATGGTCTTTCTTGATGTCTCTGGGCATTGTTTCATAGTTTTCAATGCACAAGTCTTCCATATATTTTGTCAGATTTATCCCTAAATATTTCATATTTTTGGATATTATTGTTAAAGTATTTTTTTCAATTTCATTTTCCAGTTGTTTATTGCTAGTAAATAGAAGTACGATTTTCTTGTATTTTCATCTTATATCCTTCTCCCTTGCTACTAAACTCAGTTATTAGTTCTAGCAGTTTTTTTGTAGATTCTACAGGATATTTTTTTTTACATGGACTATCATGTTTATGCCAATAGAGACAATCTTACTTCTTTTCCAATCTGAATGCCTTTCATTTCTTTTCTTGCCCTAGTGAACGGCCTAAAACCAACAGTAAAACATTGAATAGAAGTGGTGAGAGTGGAGATTCTTGTCTTGTTCCTAATCTTAGATGGAAAAGTAATCAGCCGTTCCCCATTAAGTACGATGGTAGCTGCAGGGGTTTTTTTGTAGATGCCCTTTTTCAAGCTGAGGAAGTTCCCTTCTATCTCAGTTTTCTGACAGTATTTTTCAAAAATCAGGGACAGATGTCAGATTTTGTCAAATGGATGGTTTTTTTGCATTTATTAAGGGGTTTTCTTTTTTAGTCTGTTAATAGGGTCTTTTTAGTCTGTTAATCATTGATTGATTTTTTTAGTATAAAACCAAACTTTCATTCCTCACTTGATCATTTTGTATTTTCCTTTTTATATCTTGTTGGACTCTGTTTGCTAACATTTTATTAAGAATTTTTACATCTATGTTCATGAGAGATATTAGTCTGTAGTTTTATTTTCTTGTAATGTCTTTATCTGGTTTTGGTGTCAGAAGAATAGTGGCTTAATAGTATGAATTGGGAAGTATTTCCTCCACTTAAATTTTCTAGAAGAATTTGTGTAGAATTGTGTCCTCCCAAAATTCATATGTTGAAGCTAACCCCCATTATCTCAGAATGTGACTGTATTTGGAGATAGGGTTTTAATTGAGTTTAAATGAGGCCATTAGGGTGGTCCCTAATCCAATCTGACTGGTTTTTATGAGAAGAGGAAATGTGGACACACAAAGAGACAGCAGGGATGTGCACGCACAGAGGAAAGACCACGTGTGGAGCCGTCTGCAAGCCAAGAAGAGGAGCCTCAGAATGAAACCAACCCTGCCGACACTTCGGTCTTGGACTTCTAGCCTCCAGAAGCGTGAGAAAGTGAATTTCTGTCGTTTAAGCTACCCCGTCTATGGTACTTTGTAATGGCACCCCTAGCAGCCTGATACAATTAGTATTATTTCTTCCTTAAGTATTTGGTTACATTCACCTGTGAAGTCATCTAGACCTGGGGTTTATTTATGAAAAGGTTTTAAACTGCATGTTCAATTTGTTTAATAGAGGTAGGGGTTATTTCCAGTTGAGTGAATTCATGTTTTTCAAGGAAAGTGACTGTTTCATCTTAGTCATTGAATATACTGCCTTACATTCATTTTAACACAAAAAAATGACAGACAGTAAAACCACCAGTTATTCTACGGTCTAAAAGTAACCACTGCTAATGTTTTGCTGTATATCTTCCAGATAATTTTTATGCATGTGCCCATCCACCCCTCAACAACCGCCCCCCCTTTTGTTTTTAGTTTCCAACAGTCTTTTTTTTTAATTGGGGTATATTTGCTTGACAATGTTGTGCCCACCCTGCTTTTCTTTTGTTTGTTTTACAAAATTGCTATTACCTTTAATATCCAGGTTTTTTGTATCGTTAAATCTTTGAAAACATAATTATGGATGGATGGTTAATGGTTTGCTTAACTAATTCCCTAACTTAACGTGCCTCTGATGGAGGAGCGTCTAAAGAATGCCGCAGTCAGCATCCTCTTTCATCGGTCTCTGGGAGCTACTCAGGTTTGTATCTTGGTTTATAGGCCCAGAAGTGGAATTACTGGGTCGACCAGTCTATTGTTGACTTTAGATATTGAGCACTCTGCGAGTGGGGGAGGAGGGGGGACGGAGGGGGAGGGAGGGGGAGGGAGGGGAAGGGAGCGCCCATCCTCCCCTCAAGGCACCAAGCCCAAAACCAACGCAGCCAGCGGGAGTGTGTGATGAGAAAATGGCACAGGACTATGTAGAGGCTCTCAGGGCCTCCTCCACTGCCCGCCCCCCCCCAACCCCAGCCATGGCCTCCTTGGCATAGATCTAAGTGCCTCCTGGTTACCTGCATGTTGGCGGCTGTATCATCAGTATGTGGACTGGACTGGGCCTTACTTCTTGGTTCTTCCTCCTTTGGAGTGAGTTATTAACAGGTATCTGCAAAAATCAAAGCGAGTACTGAACTGTGCAGGCAAGTGAAGGCAGAGACCAGCCTTACCCTTCCATCTCCACGCTCTGTTCTCAGGGAGCTCACAGTCTGATGCGGCAGATGCAGCCCCTGTCCCAGGAGAACCCCTGGCTTTTTTGGAGGAAATGATAGTCCCCTGTTCTCCAGGATCCCTGGTTTGAGTACAATGTCAAGACCCACATACCAAAACACATACAGGTACCTACAAAAGACTGTATAAGCAAGCGCAGGTCAACACCTTCCACGTAGGGATGTGTGATTGGACGCAGGGGGGCTTTCCTAGGATAACTTCCTGGGAAAGAGAAGGGCCTGGACCCACAGAGAGGAGGTTGGGCAAGGGAAGGGTGAGGGCTGGGAGAACGGGGAAATGACACGTGGGATTGGCCAGCCAGTTGGTTTGGTAGAGCCAGAAGCGCAAGCTGGAAAAGCTGGGGGTAGGAAGGGAAATGCTGGTGGGGGGAGGGGCGGTTCCCATCTGTTCTTTGCCAGCAAGTTTGGGACCATTGGGAGGGAAGGGCCAATGGAGACGATTTGGAGTTTTCACTTCCAATGCTACCCTTCTTCCCCCCTCCCTTTTTCCCCTCCCATCATCTCAGTTCACCTCAAGGCTGGAGAACAGGCCTCTGTTTGGTAACAAAGAGGTCTTTATCTGAGCACCTGCCGCATGCCCCCATAGCACACAACACCTGTAATCTGTTATTATCTGTGAGCAGAATCCTTGCTCGGTGATGCCCGGTTATACACATCTTACAGTTGAGAACACAGAGGCCAGGGAAGGGAGCTATCCTACCAGGATCTCAGAGTCAAGAAGTCAGGGTGCTGGGATCGGAGCCCCTGTCTGTGCAACGGTCCACACTGCCGGGGGCTCCCAGGGCTCCAGCCCCCCTCTGTTCCTCCCTACCCCATCTTTCCCCCACACATGCCACCCCCAAAAAGAGGCAAATGGCACTGATCCCCAGGCCACCAGGATCTCAACCAGAGGTGACTGGGCCCCCAGGGCACATTTGGCATGTCTGGAGATACCTTTGTTGTCACAAGTGGGGGTGTGGGGGGGGGAGGGAGGAGGAGAGGAGCATGGGGAGGGGTCACTACCAGGTCCAGTGGTGGAGGTTAGGGATGCTGCCCAGCCCGCTAGGATGCCTAGGGCGGTCCCCACCGGAGAGGTGTCGGGTCACATGACAGCGGTGGTGGCACAGAGTAGCCCAGATCTGCAGGCTCGCCCTTCCGGATGTGAGCTGGGGGCTTCCTGCTGGACGCGTGTGCCCGTGCCCCTCCAGTCTTAGCCAGAGGTGGGCACCAGCAGCTTGCAGATGTGGGTAGGCAGTTCTCTGCAGATTCTGGACTAAAGCCCTTCCAGATGTGAAGGGATGGCTTACAGATGTGTGCATATCCACACGGAGGGCCTTCCGGGCAGAGCCTCTCCTTGACTCAAACTTGCTTGGTCTCCTTGAACTTTTCTTCTCTAGGCCTCAACTTCTGGGCTTCCGTGTCCATCTAGGCGTTGTCCAGTTTTAGCATGACATCTGCTAAGTCACTTCAGCCAGGATCCCTCATCCTTGATATCTGATGGGGTTCCTCACCCCCCCGCCCCCACCAGCCCCAGGTGATGTCTGGTCACCCGCCTCCCTTCAGCAAGAATCCTATTAGGTGGGTTTAGCCAGAATCTCCCCAACCCTGATGTTTCCTCCTGGGAATTCCCATCCTCTGACCCCCACGCTGTTGCCTTGGCTACAAATTCCCACTTTTCTTTGTTCTGTTTGAAGTTGAATCCAATCTCTTTCCCTCACCGCAAGACCCCATCATAGCAGTCCCTACGCTATACAATGGCCCCGTTCAATAATTAGTCTGCCTTGCTGTCCTTTAACAAGTGTCACTGGATAATTTTTTCCTCCTTTTCAGATGGGAAGAGAGAGAACTTTGGGCTAATTTCCTTTCAGATGCCTGGGGAAGGGCCACCTCCTCTTCACGCCCCGCAGGCCCGAGCACCCTGGAGTGGGCGTTACCCGGCAGCTGTGGGCAGGGCCGTGGGGGGAGGTGGAGCGTCCTTTTTCTAGGCCATGTGTCACCTGCATCCTGCCCTGGGGCATTGCCCCGGCACTACTCTGCCACTGCAACAACGAGAAGCTGGGGCCTGCTCCCCGGAGACTTTGGGGTAGATCGTGGCTCTCCTTGAGAGCCCTATGTTCCTGGCCCCCCAGAACCCGGAACATGGCAGATGGGGCTCAGGCCAACCCCAGAGAGTTCAGGAAGAAGGGGCTGGTTAGACACCCCTCTGGGTGGAGGGGCCCGAGCCTCAGGGCCTCTTCTCCTTTGAGAAACTCCAGGTACATGCCTGCTTCCCTGGGATGGAGCCCTCCTTGGAGAGCAGCAGGGATGAGGGTGGGGAACTGGCTCCTAGAATCCATTTCTTCAGAAAGGAGAGCTCTGAGTCTCTGATGGTGGCTGAGCTATGTCATGGCCTTTTTAGCACTACAAGGGCCTTTGGGATCATCTAGCTAATCCTTATGGGCACTTGAGGCCCAGAGAGACTAAGGGATCTATGGATGGTCACACAGCATTTTGGAAGTAGAGCTGCAGCTAGAACCCAGGGACCCAGGTCTCCTGGCTCCGGGAGCAAGAGGCAGCCAGCAGGTTGGGTCACGTGACTCCCTGGCGTGCATATGGAAAGGGGTTGGTTCTGATCTGTGACAAGGTCCAACTCCATGAGACAGGAGCTCCCTGTCTTGGAAGCTGATTCTTGCTCAGAGTGGGAGGGAAGGAGGCTCCTGGTGCCTGTGGGCTCTGCCATCCTGGGGTCTGTCCCAGGAGGTGGGAGGTGCTCAGATCTTCCTGGAGGAGCTAATCACAAGGCAAGGGCAGCAGGAAATGGGGCATCAAGAGATGGCGTTGGGCTTCCCTGGTGGCGCAGTGGTTGAGGGTCAGCCTGCCGATGCAGGGAACGTGGGTTCGTGCCCCGGTCCGGGAAGATCCCACATGCCGCGGAGCAGCTGGGCCCGTGAGCCATGGCTGCTGAGCCTGCGCATCCGGAGCCTGTGCTCCGCAGCGGGAGAGGCCACAACAGTGAGAGGCCCACGTACTGCAAAAAAAAAACAACAAAAAAAGAGATGGCGTTGACCACACCTGTAACGAGGTCCAGGAGGGAGCCACAGGCCAGGAACCCCACACAGGGGGAAGGGACGGACCCAAGACCAGGGTTTCTTCCTCTCTCAGGTCCTACCTGGGGATGAAGACGTTCATCACCATCACATCCTGGCCAGCTGTGGTGACTGAAGGTGCTGGGAAACTCCTCCTTCCCCGACACCCACAGCCTTTCTGCTGTGACTCACCCACAGGCCACGGGTCCTCAGGCCTGCCATTGGGTCTCTGCTTCCTGGCTTCGCCCCTGCCTGGCTTCATCCCTTCTCTGGGGCTCTTTACTCCTCCAGGCACCTGTGAACATACCCGGGCGGTCGGCATTTACTACTTATGAGCCTCAAGGATGCAGGGCCCACAGCTGAACAAGCATCGTAAAGTGGCGGTGGTGGCTTGGCGTCAGGGCACTTAGGGACACCAGGGTGCTTGTGTACACAGGAAAACGTGTTTGTGTACGTGTGTACCTGCAGAGCTAGTGAGCTTGCATGCAGATAGCCGCATGTATCCATGTGTGTGTGGGTGTGTCCGAGCACGTGGTGATGTCTATGTGTGTAACGCACATCAGGATGTTGTGTAAGTGTGTGTTCACAGTGGCGTGTGTGTCTCTAGAGCCTGTATATGAAAGTAGGCTGTACACATCTTCACACGGCAGGTGTGTAGCAGTGTCTGGGTGTGAGATGTACCGGAAGACATGGAGCAGGTCTGGGGGCCTTCTTCCTTCTTCTTTCTGGGGGGCCCAACCCCCCGGACAGCTGAGACTCCTGACACACAGGCAGGCGTCCTGGTGGCAGTTGCCCTGTGTAGGCGGAAGATGGGCTGAATGTCCCACTGGCTTTCTGTCCACCTGTTCAGCATTCCCTGAACCCAGCCAGGTTTGAGACGAAGGAAGAAAATATCAGAAACGAAATAAGGTTAAATGTGGCCAGACGTGAGAAACGGTTGGTTGAATTCAGGCGAGGTGACTTGTTATTTAGAACGTAACCCCTCGAGTTCAGCCGGGCCCAGGGGCCTGGGACAGAGGCTGCTGCCTGAGCGAATGCAGGTTTTGTTTCTTCCACTCGGAGTGGAACGTGCACGTGGCCACTCTGGGTGCTGTGTGTGTGTGAGAGTGGGAGTGCGTGTGCATGTGTACGGGCATGGGGGGTGAGTGTGGGTCTGCTTGTGGGACTGTATGAGTGTGGGAGGTATAGGGGAAGGGCAGGCCTGGCTCAGGGGCACAACAATTCCTGGGAGGGGGCACCATGGGGGGAGCGAGGGTCTGGTGCGTGCCAGGCCCCGAGAGCGGGCCTGCCCGATCTCTGGGAGCTGGGATTGTTATTCCCATTTTGCAGATGGGAAAACAGAGCCCCAGGGAGCTTTAGTTCTGGACCTGCCTCTGTCTGACTCCAAAGTCTGTGCTCTTCCCACTGAGGCATGTGGAGGTGGTGAGTCCCTTGTCATCACTAGCGATGTTGGACAACCACGTCTCCAGAAACAAGTAATTTCGGCCTTTGGGTTTCCATCCAGTCTCCGTTTCTGAAATTCTTAGCTTCCTCCCTCTCCCAGTACATTTCCTCTTTCAGGCCGTGGAGCTGGATGGGGGATGTGGAGAGAGTTAGGGTTAGGCTGAACTGGGTGCCCAGCCCCGGGCACAGATGGAGGAGCCGGGTTGGGGGAGGCATCCCAGCTCTGGGGCACACAAACTTGGGTTCAGGTCTGGGCTCTGCCACTTCCAGGCTGCATGACCTGGGCAAAGCTTCACCTTTCTGAGCCTCAGTTTGCTCATCCATAAAATGGGATGACAGCGGCCCTCCAGCCTGTGTGGGTGGTGGCCTCAACTAGGTAAGGACCCAAATGCCAGGCTTGATGTTGACTCAGCAGTGAGCCAGCACATCTGGGAGCCCAGGAGGCAGGGAAGCAGGGGAGGGGAGAATATGTCCCTGGGGTGAGCTGCCTGAGGATGCCGGGAAGCTGATTTTGCTGGTGTAGGAAAGGTTGTTGCACTACCTGTGAGACAAGGACAAAGGGGAAGAAATATATACGTGTGTGTGTGTGTGTGTGTGTGTGTGTGTGTTCATTGAATGATGCACTGGCCCCAGGGCCATGTGGGGACGCTGAGTCCCTGCTGGGAGCTGAGGAGCCAGGCCAAGCCAGAGGGGCCCAGAATCGTGTTCAGAAGAGCATGTGGCATTTGTGAAGCCCCTTAGAGTATATAAGGCACTGGGCTCTCACTGGCTGGGTCCAAATTCTGCTTCACCTCTTTTCAACCATGTCTTCCTGGGGAAGTTACTATACACTCTGGGTCTCAGTCTCCTCATCTGTAAAATGGGGATAATATCAGCACTCTGTAGGGTTGCAGGGAGCCCTTGATGAGTTAATGCATGCAAGGGGCATAGGACAGTGCCTGGCAAATGCTATTATTATATTCTCAGGGCCATAGGGCTCAGTGTAAGGATTGTGTAACGCACCATACCAGCTGCTTTGAAGATTGCCCCCTCCTCCTGCTCTGCTCTCCCTCTCCTGCTCCCTCTGTCCCTTCCCCTTTCCCCAGCCCTGGGGTGTTGGAAGGACAGCCAGTCAAACAGGAGAGGCCACGCACAGGGCAGGGAACTCACAGCACCCCCTGGGTTCTCTTGCAGTCCTGCCCACGGCCCACAGCAGCCTGCTCAACCTCAGGTCCGTGGTGGAAGCCAACACAGGGAGGAACGCCATCTTGTCCTTCGTGGGCTACGGCTGCTACTGCGGGAGGTGGGGGGGCGTGGCCTGCCCATGGATGAGGTGTACTGGTAGGTCCTGGAGAGTCTGGTCTGCTGGAACCGGGCAGGGACAGTAAAGGTCAGACTGTCTCCATCTCTGAGAGGTGGGAGACGCCCCTTCCCCCAAGGAGGAGGCTTGTTTGATGAGTTAGTGGCCAGAAGCCTGACCTTTGACCCGTGTCCTCCTCAACCATCTTGGATATTTTCTTTTCTTTTCTTTCATTTTTTTTTAAAGTGTATAACATTGTGGGTTTTCTTTTTTTAATTCTATCATTGGCATGTTTATTTTATTTTTATTTCTTTTGGCCGCGAGGCTTGTGGCATCTCAGTTCCCCAACCAGGGATTGAACCTGGGCCCTCGGCAGTGAAAGTGCAGAGTCCTAACCATTGGACTGCCAGGGAAGTCCCATCTTGGACACTTTCCATTGTCCCTTTCCAAGGTCTTGGGCTTGGAGGCATTTGAACTTCCGTTCTCACCGGAAGGAGCCTTTGACCTGTCTCCAAATACACATGAGAGCAAAAGTCACACAGCTTATACTTGACAAAGGCAAGGGCTGTGACCACGGCCCCTCAGACTGGAGGCTCAGGTGGACAGGACTGTGCTTCCTCCATCAGACTGGGAGTTCCTGGAAGCCATGGCTTATCCTTTGCTCCTGTCTCCCCCCGAAGCACCAAGTCTGGTATCAGCAGAGGCTTCATAAATGCACGTTGACTAATTACCTGCCCTCCACTAGAGGGGGTGGGACAGCCACACCACATTTGCTTCCTGTCCCCCATCCCCAAGCCCCACTTAACTCTCCAGGCCTTTGTGTCTCCCTGGCCATCGTGCACAGCCAGGTATAGCCCCTGCATCTAGCCGGTCTCTTCCTACTTTGACTTCACTCAGGCCCCTCCCTCCCACCCTGACCCCTCCTGCAGCTGCAGCCAGGGCTCCAGGGGGTCGGGGGGAAAGCTAGGGCTCTGGGCGGAGGGCAAAGGGAGGGGATCGCAGACAAGAACCTGGGGCACTGGACTGGTTCTGCCCGGCTGTGTGACTTAAGGCCAGTAACTGCCCTCTCTGGGCCTCAGTCTGAAGGTCTGACTCGTGAGGGACAGGAACAGATAATCATGATAGAGGTCACTGCCGGTGGGAGAGGGGCCAAGCCTGGCTATGCCTGCCTGCTCTCCTTTCCCCGCCCCTACGTGCTGCCATGTCCACGACTGCTGCTACCAGAAGCTCTTTAAATTTTTTTCTTTTTTCCTCTCTGCGGTACGCGGGCCTCTCACCGCTGCAGCCTCCCCTGCCGCGGAGCACAGGCTCCGGACGCGCAGGCCCAGCGGCCATGGCCCACGGGTCCAGCTGCTCCGCGGCATGTGGGATCCTCCCGGACCGGGGCACGAACCTGCATCCCCTGCATCAGCAGGCGGACTCTCAACCACTGCGCCACCAGGGAAGCCCCAGAAGCTCTTTGACCTGGGCTGCCACACCTATGTGGACCATTACGACTACACCATCGAGAACAACACTAACATTGTCTGCAGTGAGTCCCTCTCCCACCATCGCCCCTTCCCCTCACGGAAGTGTGTACTGCCAGCCCCCTCAGCCTGTGCTAGGGCCGTGGGCCAGGTTACCAGATGAAATACAGGATGCCCAGTTAAATTCAAATTTCAGATAAACAATGAAAGATGTTTTTATGTAAGTATATCCTAAATACTTTAGTTTTATACTAAAAACTAAATGTTAGCATGAAATTAGTAAGTATTAGTATGAAATGAAGAATTAGCATAAGTATACCCCATGCAATATTTGGGATATACTTATACTAAAATATTTATTGTCTGAAATTCAGATTTAACCAGGTACCTTGTTTTTCGTTTGCTTGTTTGTTTGCCAAATCTAATAACCCTGGCTGTGGCCCTGGCACATCTCCCTGATGTGCTCGGAGCCCCCGGGCCTGAATTGGCCCCCAGGCTCCCCAGTCCCCAAGATTCTTAAGCTTCGGAGAGCTTAGGGAGTGATCCTGATTCAGTGGGTCAGGTCTTAGCGGGGTCCAGGACTCTCTGTTTTTAATCAGATCCTCAGATGATCCTGAAACTTTGTGTCAGGCTGGCATGGGAGTCAGGGGACCTGGGTTGGAACCCATGTTCTCCCAGCATGTATGACCCTGGGCAGGGTCCTTCCCCACCTGGCCTCAGTCTCCCCATGGGCACATTGAGGGGTTTGGATCTGAGCAGACCCATTCCCTTCTAGTTCTGTCATTGGGACCCCAGCAGATGAGGTGACCCCATCCTAGACACCCAGGGTTTCTGGGGATTCGAGGTGTTGGAGCCAAGCCTGGCAGGTTCCCTCCTTTACCATGGATGCATTCCCCACCTGAGGGACGCAGCATCCAAGCTGATGGTCCAGGTGTCCCTGCCCAGCCCCTGCTAGTGCCCCACCCTGGGGTAGCAGGTGCCCCTTGGCCCAGCCCCGTGGGCAGCCCTGGGCTCCCTTTGTCTCCTTATCTTCACCAGGCTGTGTGTCATCCCTTACTAAGAGCTCACAAGCAATGCCAGCTTTGCAAAGATACTCAAGACTCCTGTTCTCTGGGAAGGAGTCTGGTGGGGAACTGGGCACATCTGGGGACCCTCGGCAGCCCAGGGCTGTCTGGTCCTCATATTTTGCTGTTCAGATGTGTGGTGGAGGGTCTGGCTTGAGAGAGGAGTTCATTAAGCAGTTCATGGAGAGGAATTTCCCTTCTCAACCCCCAAGACAATGGACTAACCCAAGCAGTGGTTTTCACACTGGGTTCTGGGGATTTCTGGGGTCATCAGGTCAACTGCTGTGAGAGCTAGTGGGGGGTCGGTTATCCCTGGATTGGTGGTCCAGCTGCCTCTTTAATGTATTTTGTAGCTCTAGTGGCTTCTCTTTCATCTGTTTAAAAAAAATTTTTTTTTATTCTTATCTTTTTTATTTTGGCTGCACTGGGTCTTTGCTGCGGCATGCGGGCCCCTCTAGTTGCAGCTCTCGGGCTTAGTTGCAGTATGTGGGATCTTAGTTCTCCAACCAGGGATCGAACCCGGGCCCCCCCCCCTGCATTGGGAGCGCAGAGTCTTAACCACTGGACCCCCAGGGAAGTCCCCTCCTTCGGCTGTTTGATATATTAGTCTTTGGCCAAGAGTTTCACGTTAGAGAAGGTATTCTGCTGATGGAGAGTTTGCAAGTTTGCAAACAATTGGGCTAGTGGGTGGTTCTCGAGAGGTGTTCCCCGAACCTGCAGCATCAACAGCACTTGTTAGAAGAAGCTCTACGGGTGGGGTTGGGCAGCCTTGGTTTTCAGGAGCCCTCCAGCTGATTCTAATGCGCACCTAAGGCTGAGAACTATGGGGTAGATGATTTCTGAAGGCCCATAACAACTACGACAGCATTTGCTCCCTGGGACGCACTGAGCGAAGCTCTTTATGAGTGTTTTTCTCACTCCGATCTCACCACGAACTCCCTCCAGGGTGGGTGTGCTGTGATTCTGTGCTTGAGAGAGGCCTGCGATGGTAGAAAGTAACTGGGCTGGAGGGCGAGTTCCTGACGCCTGAGTTTCCGTCCCAGCTCTGCCTTGGGTTTGCTGGATGACTTAGGCAAACGCACCCTTTCCTGGGCCTCAGTTTCCCCCTGTTGACATTGTTCTGTTGGGCTTCAGGGGTTCTCTGTTTCCCATGCACCAGGGGCACCTGGAGGGCTGTGAATGCAGAGGCTGGGCCCCGAGTGTCTGAGCCTGCAGGCCTGGGGTGGGCCCGCGGACGGTGCTGGTGCTGTTGGCCCGAGACCACCTTCCGAGGTCCACTGTGACCTCAGAGTCCGTGTGCTCCACTCCCCACAGGCGAGCTCAACCAGACGGAGGGTGACCAGCAGACGTGCGAGTGTGACAAGAGCGTGGTCCTGCGCTTCCAGAAGCAGACGTACAGGGAGGAAGGAGCTTGGCAACTACCTCAACATCTACCGCCAGAGCCCCGCCCAACTGCAGCATCTCCGGGCCACGCCCCCCGCCCCTCCCTAGCGCCCTCTGGGGGCTGACAGAGAGGAGGGTTGGAGGTTCCGGTCCTGGGGACCAGCCAGATGGAGCAGGTGGAGGTGGGGGCAGGTCGGGGGCCCCTGGGCTGCCCTCCTCCCTGGAGCCCTCCAACGAGACTGGCCCCAGAGGACTCAGAAAGGCCGGGGCCCTGGTCACCTGGCTCCTCCAGCCCAGACCTGGGTGTGGCTTCATCCTGGACGTGGCAGGGGGCATGTGCCCTGTTGGGGTCTCTCCCGAGTGTGGAAGGCAAGACCTACGAAAGACTGGGGGCCTCTGAGGGAGGGGGGCCTCTCACTGGCACTAGCTTGACGTCCTCAACCAGGCCCTCAAGGCTGGGGCCCGGAGTCTTCGAGAGCCAGACCTGGGGCGGCCAACATGGGCCCAGAGCTTGGCGTGTCCTAGGACCAGGTTCCCAGGCAGACAGAGCGCTGGTCACAGGCCTGGTTCTGGGGCCCCTCGGCTGCTCCCAAGGGATGACTCAGGGTGAGCCCTGCTTTGGGAGCCTTGCAGCCCTCCAAAGCCCCTTTGGCAGGTGGCCCCATCCTGGCCTTTGTCAAAGTAGCACATGATTCCCAGCCCAGACCACAGGATGGTCACGGGGCTAACGTCCCAGGCCTGAAGTCCAGCCTCAGTTACCCAGAGAGCCTCAGAGCACTGGGCACTGACAGAGCCCACATGCACCGCCCCCAGGCGCACACTCAGATGTGTCCCCACCACTCGGGTCCTCTGCCGACCCATTCATGTCAGAGGCACACCCTGGCCGCCGCCCTGCAACGCTGAACTGCTCTGAGGGGCGCCCCGACCCTAGGCTGCCCGGGTCCCTGACAAACACGGGAGGGGGAAGCCCTAGGCCTCCAGGCGCTCCCCCTGCATCTCTCCCCGCGCAGCAACCAGGCCAGGGCGTGGAAGGGACCAGAGCACTCTTTCCCCGGGTAAGGAGAGGCGAGACTGCAACCTGGCCACAGAAGCCCTCTCGATGGGGAGGAAGCCGGGAGCTGGGACCCACCTCTGTGAAGAGGAGACAAAGGCAGGAGAGACCAGGTCCAGGCAGGAGGCTGTGGGGAAGATTCCAGAAGGCAGCAGGATGTGAAGAGGGAAGGGAGGGGAGAGAGTGGGAGAAGTGACACAAGGTGAGGGCCAGACGTCCAGACCAGAGAGGTCGTGGCAGGAGAAGAGGGAGCAGAGGAGCGTTGGGGGTGGGGTACCCCCTGGGGCCCAGGTTCCCGCTGGGGCTTGTGGGATTACGGGCAGAACAGGAGGAGGGTCAGGCCTCAGCGGTCCTGCTTTCCTGACTCTGCCCCAGCACTGCTGTTTCCCCAGCTTCCCAGTCCTTCCTCAACTCGCCTCTTGACCTCAGGGTCAGCGGCCTCCAAGTAGCCAGCACGCCCTGCCTCGCTCCACCCTCTGCCTTCAGCCAGCGTCAACCCTGAGGGCCACTGACCCCCCGGGACACCGAGAACATCCGCCAAGAATCCCGGCCCACCCTGCGGCCGCCGAGGACCACTGGCACGGGGGGAGGGACAGTCAAGACGAGCACAGGCGGGGAGGGACATGGGGGTAGGGAGAACATCGACAAAAAAGACGGTAGGACTGGACGGAGCCCCGCCAAGCTGCAGCTTCTAGAAACCCTCCTTGGGCTCTGGAGGCAGCTGTCGCTGTGTGTGGGAGGCCTCCCTGCTGCTCAACCCCTGCTGTCCTGCTGGCCGTGGGGTGATGGCTGTGGTCCCCCGTGGGCCCGCACCCGACCTGCCCAGTCACCGAGATGCTCTCAGGAGCCCACCTGCTCCTGAGCTGACCCCATCAACTCTGAGCTGAAGCCCCGCCCCCCCCAGCAGGAATGGAGCCAGGATGGGGAGTCCCCCAGAGGCGGGGGCAGCAGAGGCCTGGGCCCCTTGCCTGTGGGAGCCTAGGTTTCTGGCTGTGCCCCTCTACCCGTGCAGACAGCCTCCCCTCCTAAAAGTCTAGGTGTTGGGACGGGATTCTGCTGCTAAGGGGTCCTGCCTGCCCCCTGCCTCACCCCAGACTCTCCCAGATACTGCAACCCCCAGAGATTGTCCACAGGACGTGGCACCCCTCCTCAAACTAATAAAGGCCTCCTACCTCAACTGCCCACTGCTGAGTCCTCCTTGGCAAGGCACCCACTGGCCAGGGAAAAGCACAGTGGCTCCCTCCCGGGTCTCCAGCTCTGGGGAAAGTGGGCTCCCTAACACCCAGCATCTGGCATGGCCTATCCCTTTCCCGCTCCTGGCCTGGGTGAAGCAGCCCCCCTCCAGCAGAGACAAAACTGTTGGGAGGGTTGGAAAGTGGGGCTGTGGTCCAGCGGTCAGACAATTATAACAACTACTGGGCTGAGTACTTACTCGGCCTCCATCTCCACAGTGCTCTCCCTCTGCCCCATCCTTTTCTGTTGAAAAAACCGAGGCCCAGAGAAGGTAAGTAACTTGCCCAAAGTCACACAGGTCATTAGTGATGGGGCTGGGATCTGAATCCTCAGCATCTGACTTTTAATGTCATCTCTTCGCACCTCCTTAATGATGAGTTGGGCAGCTGGGGTCAGTGGGACAAGTGACTGAGAGTCCAGCAGGGCGTCAGTTCCTGGGTCCTGGCCTTAGCCTCTTCCCTGTGATGGGCATCAGTTTCCCCAAGCGCAGAGAGACCAGAGCCAATGTTTCAGATGCTCCCCAAGGCCATGGGTTTTCCTGGGACTTCTAGGGGTGATCTCTGGGGAAGGGGAGGCTGAGCAGATGGGGGTCTGAGCCGCCACCTCATTCTTCCATGAGCAGCCGTGCTTTTCCTGTGTTACATATTGATCCTTCACATGAGCTACTGTAAGAAGAAGAGAGTCTTCAGCTAACGTTTTGAAAAGCCCTGGACATGATCATCCATTGGTTCATTCATTCAACGGACCTATCCCCATGGTCTCCTATGGACCAGGCATGAGGCTCGGCTTTGGGGTAGACACCACTTATCAGATGCAGCCTCTGCCCCCAGGACCCCACAGCCTGGGAGGGAGAGGCAGACACGTGGACCGATAACCTTGACATAGGGTGCCAGGTGGTGTCAGGGGAGCACGAAGGATGCAGCCAATCCTGGAAGTGGCCCCCAAGGGGATGGGGTGGAGATGGGATGTTGTATTTGATGCCTCTGGAGGTGGCGAGGGGGAGTGGGGTCACAGTGTTTGAAGAAGGGCTCTTTGCTTCTACAGTATGGGTGGTCTTTCTCTCCTCAAGTTAGTGAGATCTTTTATGCAGAGGCTCGAGGAGGGGGCTGGACTTGCTTCCCACTGGTCTGGGGGCTGCCACTAATCAAGACTCTCTCCTTGACCAACATTTAGTCAGGCTCCTCTGAGATCTTTTCTCAGCTAGGTCTCAACATTTGGGTTTCTATTGCCCCATTTTAGCAAGAATCCTGCCATGTCAGTTTAGTGAGAATCCCTACCCACCCTCAATACGTGATCAGATTCCTCATCCTCCACCAGCCCCTGGGTGATACCTGATTACCCCACCTGCCTTCTGCAAGAATCCAGTTAGGTCGGTTAAGCAACAATTCCCCAGCTCTTATCAATTTTCCACCTCCCCCAACCCCTGCTATAAACCCTCACTTAAGAAATGTAAGGATTTGAAATTGTATTTGGAAATGAGCCCAATTCTATACTGGTCCCTATTGTAATAGTTCTTGAATAAAACCTGTTTTGGCCACTTAAGCTACTGTCCGGCTCTGGTTTTCTAGGAGTTGTGACTCAGATGGAATCAGATTCATCCTTGGACCCCGGGATCTCTGCCAACTAAAAGTTGTCGCTTGCCATTCTTGTTTCTATAAGAATGAACTCACCAGCCACTGCAGCCTCTGACCTTCAACACCCCCTGAAAGGAGTTAAGGGTGGAGATCAGGAATGAGGCCCTCTGTGCTCTGGGAAAAACTGGCAGAACAGGTCTTCAGATAGTTAGATATTTTCAGGAGAAGATTTTATGAGCTCAATTTCTTGCATCTTCTCGTATCTAGAAAAGCACTAAAATCATTAACAGAGACATCTGGCTCCTTGTGACTAGCAGCAACCTTCTTGACTAATAGCAACTTTTGTCAAAATGTGTGCCTGACTGCGCCAAAATCATACATATTCTGACCCCTCCCCCCTTTACCTCTTTGGAGCAGCTCCTCGGTGCTATTTGAGGTGCTATAGTTCTCATTTTGCCCCAAATAAAACTTAACTCGCAACTCTCACGTGTGCATTTTAAAAAATTCAACACCTCTCACTTTCAGTGGGAAAGTATAGCACAGCCTCGTGGGTTATTACATTACAGTCCTGTTCATTGTCTTTGAGCTATTTTTCGCCTCTTGGCTAGATTCCATTTTCCTTTCTGCTTTGTTACCTGTCTGTAAACGGAATGAATCCTGCCATCCTGCACATTTAGTTAATTCTTCTAATTTTCTCCAAAATCTGGCTACAACTCTTCAGATGAATGTTTCCAATTTTTCTCCCACCCTCTTGACTTGGAGTCACTGAGAACTAAAACCCAACTGCCCAGATCCTTACTGGGACTTTCTAAAGAAGCCCTATGAGCTGAAGCTGGATGCGTCCACGCTCTTCTCCAAGAAACAAACGTGACCATGACACCGATGTCGGTGCCACCACCAGAGATGATGCAAACTGCAACCAGGAAGACCGATGGATTGCCACTGCTCTCCTCACTTCACCATCCACAGATGCTTCAAGCTCAACATCTAGAAGTCTCAACTGGCTGTCCTCTGAACCCAGAAACTGGGTTTAGTTGCTCCGATCATTAATCTTTGTTTTTCTTTTTTTCATAGATATCCCCCTCATTTAAATGCCTGATGGTTCACACCATCGAGAAAATACCCTTTACTACCAAGTCTCAACAGATGGTTCCACTGGTCACTAAGGAACAAAAAATGACCAATCGAGAAAGGAACACATATTGTTCAGAAGAAAGAAGATCTCCTCTTTCCCTGAACCAGAGGAGGGACTGGCAAAGACTCTCCCTTTGACCAAACTTTGGGCTCCTCTGAGAATTTTCTCAACTTGGCCTCAACCTGTGGGCTTCTGTGTTCATCTTTGCATCATTCTTGTGTTTCAGCAAGAATCCGGCTATATCAGTTTAGGGAGAATCCTCACCCTTCCTCAATATCTGATCAAATTTCTCACCTCTCACTAGTCCCCAGGTGATATCTGATCGCCACGACCTGCCTTCGGCAAGAATCCTGTTAGGTCAGTTTATCAAGAATCCCCTACTCTCTTAGCAATTTTCCAGCCACTGA